TCATTGCCCAAGATATATAAATAAAAACCCTGTGACCACATACGCAACCGCATTCACCACCTGCTGACTCCCCCCACCATATCAAAACTTAACACCCGCAAACACCTGTAATCCTTCCCCACCCACTAACCTAACTACTCTACTTAGCCAGACCCTCACATCTTCTAAACAAGTACAAAAGTACACAGCGTGAAATAGGGTTTTTCCGGACATCCACACGCTTTGCACTCCCCACCCTCCCTTAATCTCCTATTAAATAACACAACCCCAGACGGCAAGATCCCATGTAAAAACCTAAACATAACCTCCCTGACACTTGATTTTACACGTAGTTTTTGAAGACATTTCCATACAGAACCCCATGCATACATAGGGTATGCCCCCTCAACTGCCGCCACCACAGACCCACCCCCCACCCTCTCAAGAACCTTCAATTTAAGCTGTTTCGGATCCCTTACCTTTAGTAAAACTCGCAACATAGCCTCCCCAAACATTAAATCCCTACCCCTCCACCACCGTTGCATATCCATGCGCAGTCCTTAAAGGCCTCCCCCCCTCACCCCCCCCTCACAAACCCCCTTTTCAAAACACACTCAACATACGCTTCTCAAGAGGTATAAGCCCCACCCCCCCCTGGCTAACGGGAAGCGACACCACCTTCTACTTAGCCAGTCACAACCCGATCCCCATATAAATCTAAATTTACCCTCAGTTGCAACCGTTGCACCTCAAAACGTCGTAACGGATATATTGCCACCACGTGCCAAACTTGCTATACAACGGGACATTCGTGACTAAAACCCTTTGATGCAACGAAAAATTGCTCTGCCCTCAAGCCTCCCAATCTTTTAAAAACTCCACCATGGTGCCCTCGAATTTGCCTCTTGTGCATCCCTATCATCCGCATGTACACTATCCCACATATCAACAGCTGATCTACCACACGCCACCCACCCTCAACAGTCTCACCATTATGTAAAACTATCCCCTAGATCCAAATACTTGGACTTTACTACATTAATTTTCACCCCTGTAGCCTCACCAAAAACGTCTATCACCCTTTCTACCTTATGTAAATCCCTCACTCCCTCCCCAAGACAGTCGTATCATCCACGTAACCCACTATACCCACTCCCCCTTTACGTGCAACACCAACCCTCGCTCTCGCTATACTCCACCTAAAATGCCCTATAAAAGGGTTCCTGAAGACATGCAAACAAAATTTGCGACAGAGGACATCCCTGTCCAAACCCTTCCCATCTGTTGCTATCACTAGTCGTCCATTAAACCTTTTTCTCATAACTGCACCCAGATACAAAGTTTTTGCCCAAGAAACAATTTCCTCCCGAACCCAACCAACCATAAACACTCAAAAGCATCCCTTCTACGCTATCATAAGCACCCCTCCAATCCAGAGCCAAAACACCCCCTCCCCCCTCCCCCCTCCCCCCTATGCTCTATTTAAAACTCCTAATAGCTCCATGCCCTTCATACATTGATCTACCGGTATGCCCTATTGTCCTCTATCAATTACTTTAAACCTAAAACCTGTTTGATTCTGTTCCCTAATACCCTTCAAATAACTTATAATCACTGCACATAAGCGATATTGCACGTAATCTTTCTACCGTGGTCTGTCCCCCTTTGGCACTAATACAACAACAGCAGTTTTTTTGCTGCTCACCCATTGCCCATCTTCCTTCATTACATTGAACAATCTCACTAAAAAATCTCCTCAATACTTCCCAGTTCTTAACATAAAAATCATTAGGCAACCCGTCTACAACCCGGTGCCTTACCTAAACTTGCACCTACTATAGCTCTCCAAATTTCCCCTTTTGTAATCTGTCCTTCCAAAGTCTCCCTATCTCTACCATCAAGCTCGCATTGCACATAACCACCCATTTCCCTTAAAGCATCATCTCGTATAACCCAATGTTGTGCATATGACCTAAACCCAATGCATCAATATATCCACTCATACCTTCAGTCGACATCAATACCTGCCCTTCCCTATACCCTCCCATCCCCACTTGAACTGTTAATCCATCATCTCCGTGCTGCCCTCCTCTTCTGCTGTCCCCTTAAGCACACGCCGAAGGCCGATCCCCGTAGAGAAACCCCCTCCAACCCTCCAGCCACACGGCACCATCAAATCGATCAAATTTTGCAAACCCTTTAATACGTTGCTTTTAAATCCTCTTTTCCTCCACAGGGTATCTCGCACCATCACCCACATAACAATTGCGTAACTGTCCTTCTAAATACCCCTGTAGCCCATATAAAAAATTTATTACTTTTTCCCTCCCAAGCCGAACATAGTAATCCCGAAATTTCGTTTCTTAGCCACCACATCCCCCCCACCTAACCAAGTCTCTATCCCCAGGAGCCCCTGCTAACAAACCCCCAAAAACACTCAAAAATTTCCTATCTCCTCCCCTTTTAACAATTTAACATTCAATTTCCAATAACTACAACCCCTCTTAGGTTAAACCCTCCCACCCTGCGTCCACAAGAATCCTCTATGATCAGAAAACACCACATCTAAAACACGCACACTATTAACTACGATGGTGCGTGACAAAGTACACTCTATCAAGTCGCGCCGCATATCCACGACGTACAAAAGTATGTCAACCTCTCCCCCCCCCACCACGTCCTTTAATCCCACCCCTGACATTAAATCTCCCAATACCCCTGAAAAGTACCCACTTCCCCGAGGTTCTACATCCTTAAAGCCGGATCACGCAATTCCAATCCCGCCTACAATAAACTACTTCAGGGGGTGCCTCAAATAATAAATTAACACCCCTTTCACAAAGGTTGCTTTTACACGCCCCTCATTCTCAGCTGGACCCTAACACACACAAAAGCCACCTTCACCCGTTCCCCATAGCCCTTCCACCCTTATTATCCTCCCCTCCCCCCCTTCACTACGTCTCACAACAAACGGCTAGTCTCCCTGATCATGATGGCAAAGCCACCTTTCAACCGAATTGCATTCTCCATGTACACATTATATCCTTCTATCCGCAATCACTACCACATTTATGATTGTGTTCCTGTATGAACACAACGTCTACATTATTAAGCACCAATAAATCACGTAACCATGCACCCCTTTCGTACAGATCGTAAACCATTAATGTTTATTGTGAGGCACTTTAAAATCGACAATGATGGTTTTCCTTTCGACACTGAATGTTTTTCACTAGATTTTTTGTTTCCAATTTTCCCTTCCCCTCCTTTTGAAGCACTCCTAATCATCCCCCTGTGCTTTGGTACACAGGACCCTTTCTGTGCCATCCGCCCATTTATTTCTTCCTGATCTTTGGGCTGGCGTTAACACATCATCAGAATCTGAAAGTGTAACAGAGCGCTTTCGTGTTACACTTTCTACCTGCATTCGTCGTCCACAGTGCAATCCTGGTGAATTTCCACCTCCACCGTTTGTTTCAGCAAGGCGTCAGTGGCGTCCACTACAGCGCACGTCGTGATCCACGTCCGCCGTCGCAGCCTGTCCCCAAGTCTAGGGATGGTGCCGGGCGCAGGACTCATGCTGTCCTCCGTAAATAATTCATCTAACACAGAGACAATGGATGTCTCCACATCATTGGCCTCTCTTCTCGCGAAGCCGTTTCCAACCCCTGGGGGTGCATCCAAAGGAGGCGACACTTCCGGGAGTGTAGCACACACCGTGTTCAGAGACCTCTCAACCTCTTTGCTCCAAGACAATCTTGAGGGTTGCACAGGCGCTTCAGGGACATCTTGCCTTATACCTTCCTCCCCTAAATCCTTGCTCTGTTGTACAACCCTGGCACCTCGTCCCTTTCACACTGCACCGCCAAATGATCGTATGCCCACACAACCTACAAGTGCGGCGTTGCCCTGCATAAGTCACAAAAACTTGAGTCCTGAAGTCTTGCAGGATCACATATGAAGGGATTGGATGTCGTAATGTCATTTTTACCGAAAAAGTTCCCTCAGGTAGTCCTTCATATGGGCCATCAGGCCACCTCCCTGCTGTAGCCATGTGTATGGTGCCGTAATTACTCAGGGCAGCACGTATATCAGTCGCATCAGCCTCAAAGGGTACATTTCTCACTTTTACCCATGTATAATGGCGGGATACATCGTGTAGCTTCACAGACACAGTCTGGTTAACCACCAGATTGACCTCTTGATACTTGTCGACAACATTCTCGTAAACTTGAGCTGAGCTAAACTTTACAAAGATTCTTGTCACACCATTCATCGCTACACCGCACAAATCCTCGTTGGCGATACCATAGGTGTCTCGGATTATCGCTGGCAATAATATCGCCATTGATGGTCCAAGCACTGCCCCACGAGTTAATTCAAACACACAGTGTTGACGCGGCGTCTGGCTGCCTGCGCCATGTTGAGAAAATGAAACTGCCACCCAACAGCTATAGAGGGCAGCAGTGTAGAACACGTCCTCTCTACTCAATGGCTGAGAGACGGTATTTACTGACTACCAGGACATCACCTCCAGCCTTACAGTTTCTGACTACATGGCCAGTATCAAGGGCAGTACCATTCAGCCCAGACTTTTTATGTTCCCATCTGTTGTAGAAAGCTTCCAGGTTTTCTATGAAAGCAGCTTTGATGTTATCCTCTTTTAATACCCTTGTGATTTCAGTCCACAGATTTATCTCATTTGGGCATACCCAAAAACACTTCCCTGTTTTAATACTGTTTGTAGCTAGTTCTTGGATATCTGCATAAGGGATATGGGTGGCTAACCCTCCGGGGTTAAAAATCCGATCGAAATCTTATCTTATCTTATCCTAGGTTCTCTAGACATATGCTGACAATTACAAAAGCTAAGACAATCAGCCAACTCGCGCACCTAGGAGTATAATTGATTATATAATTATGTTAAAATCTTGCTTTTCTTGTCCCATCTTTCATCCATATCACATCATTGTGATGTACTATATTTTATTATATTATTTGTTAGATTTTATTTAATTCAGGTGGCGTACTTCACGGCATTGTTTCCCTACGTGGTGCTCTTCACGCTGCTGGGGCGAGGAGTGACCCTGCCGGGGGCCGAGGATGGTATCCTCTACTTCATTATTCCTCAATGGGAAAAACTTCTCGACCCGAACGTGAGTACCTGTCTTCAATATTCTTTTTATATATTCAAAAGAAGGCATGAGAGTCGAAGATCAAAATGAATTTTCTATGAGAGAGCCACAGAATTTGGTTAACACAAGCCTATCTGATGTTATCCTGACGCCAAATGACTTCGAACAGGCGATAAATGACATGCCCATGCACTCTACCCCAGGCCCAGACTCGTGAAACTCCGTGTTCATCAAGAACTGCAAGAAGCCCCTATCACGAGCTTTTACCATCCTATGGAGAGGGAGCATGGACACTGGGGTCGTCCCACAGTTACTAAAAACAACAGACATAGCCCCACTCCACAAAGGGGGCAGTAAAGCAATAGCAAAGAACTACAGACCGATAGCACTAACATCCCATATCATAAAAATCTTTGAAAGGGTCCTAAGAAGCAAGATCGCCACCCATCTAGATACCCATCAGTTATTCAACCCAGGGCAACATGGGTTCAGAGCAGGTCGCTCCTGTCTTGACCCTGTGCACTGTGACTGTGTACGTTAGGCTCATATTGGAGTATGCAACACCAGTTTGGAACCCACACCTAGCCAAGCATGTGAGAAAACTAGAGAAAGTGCAAAGGTTTGCAACAAGACTAGTTCCGGAGTTAAGGGTTATGTCCTACTAGGAGAGGTTAAAGAAAATCTTCCTGACGACACTGGAAGAAAGGAGAGATAGGGGGGGGGGATATAATAGCAACATATAAAATACTGAGAGGAATCGACAATGTAGACAGAGACAGGATGTTCCAGAGATGGGACACAGCAACAAGGGGTCACAGTTGGAAGTTGAAGACTCAGATGAATAACAGGGATGTTAAGAAGCATTTCTTCAATCACAGAGTTGTCAGGAAGTGGAATAGTCTGCGAAGTGATCTAGTGGAGGCAGGATCCATACATAGCTTTAAGAAGAGGTATGATGAAACTCATGGAGTGGGAAGAGTGACCTAGTAGTGGCCAGTTAAGAGGCGGGGACCAGGAGCTGTGACTCGACCCCTCCAACCACAACTAGGTGAGTACAGTCCACAACTTTAATTTACCAGAGTAGGTAGTTTTAATATTGTAATTATTTTCATATTAGGTCTAGTTTTTTGTGTGAGTGGTGAGGAGTGGGCATGGAGGGAGTAACAGTTCAGTGACCTACTGTGACTTTAGTCCCACTTATCTCACCAAAATTACTTGCCCGTAATAATTCACACAGGTAATTTGCTCACACAGTAATAATTCAAAGTAGTTTAGTAACTTGATTATGCAAAACATCCCCCATCTTGTGGGCGGTAGTTAAAATAATTCAACATAGGCACATGATGGGTCCAGGGATTGGGCCGCAAAGTCTGGATAGCAGAGACAATGCAGGTAATTTACACATGTTAATAGGTATGGTAATTGTACCTATGTGTACCTGTACCTAAATAAACTTACTTGCTTAATTAATATCATTATTACAGTCGTAACTAAGCGCTAAGCGCACAAGGGTTATTATTAAAATCCACCTATGGGTGAAGAGTCACACCAATACATTGCATTGTCTTCTTACCAACCTTATTTTTCTTCAGTATCTTGTGATAAATCTTCCATTTCAACTTCTTTAGGGGTCAAGATTACGATGGAAACAAAAATTTTGAAAGTTTATTTCGAGGGCCTTCTTGTTGATATTTATTAATGATGTTGTGGGTGTTGCCTCCGCGTCACTGTTGCATAATTATAATTGCAGTTGCTGTTATTTTTATGTGGTTTCCGAGGTTTGTGGGTCATTGGTAGCGCCTTTGACTCGTACATGAAGTACCCGGGTTCAGTCCTGGGGCAGGTCGAGACGTGGGTGTGTTTCCTTATACCTGTGGTACTAAGGTACTAGGTACCCGCATATAAGTTGACTGTTGTGGATCGCATTTTTTTTTTTATTTTATTTAAAACCAATACAGTATACATAAAAATAAAAATAAAAGGAAACAGTATGGATCTCAATCCTGAAGGTTCGGCCATTGGCATAAGAAACCCAACACAAAATAAACTAACACAAATGGATTGCACCTATATACTCCCAAGATATAGCTGTATAACATACAACAATAGCTTACGGCAAGAACATAACTACAAATAAACACAGTAACAGGGTCATGAACTGACATATATAAACATTCAATGACTCAAAACCTAACTTACATATAAATTTTACATATAACATGACATATGACAAAGGCTCATTACAATTGAAAAGAATATATACGAGAAAATGTAACAATTACTTCCAGCCTTCTCATTAATCAATAAACCAAAACCTAACATCATAATCCTACTAGAACATCTAATACTTTCCCTAAAATTTTCAGCTTTACATATACCAAAATACAAATAAACATACAAAGAAAACAGCTTAGATCTCAAAACCGACTCATTACAGTTACAATAAACCCGTATACAAAAATCTCAGACACAAAAGGAATGCGTCTATAAACTGGCTAGATATATCTGTTACCATACAGCCAAAACTTACGTAAGAACATAGCCATGAAAACCAATATCAGGGGGCTGACAGTCTATAAATACATCTTAACATACAAAAACCTAGAAATAACATGAACTAAAAACACTTCATATGGACAAAGAACATTACCGTTGTATAATGCTATTACAAAGTACATTGAATAATGACAATTGAAACAAAGTAACGAAAAGGGAACATATACTACAAGCATGTCATCGACACCATGCCCAGCCCTTTAGGGTTGCGGTTAGGTGCGGAGCCCGGCCTTTAGTATAAGACTGTCATTCCCATTAGCACCCTGAGGCGGGGATGGCAGCCAGAGAGGCCTAGCTTGTGGCTTGGGCCTGGGGACAGGTTGGTCCCCAAAGATGAGGAGTACTTGTGCCTCATCCCATGGAATGACTTAGGGTCTCAGACAGCTAAAGAGGGAGCCAAGGGCCGGGCCACCCACTTGGAAAAGGCCCGGGCCGGGAGAATAACCGGCTATATATTTAATAATAATAATAATAATAACAACAAGCATGTGTTGAAGACATATAAACCTACACATCACATATATCACAGTACAATCTTTGTATATAGACCTTGAGGACAAAAGGAGAATCCAGGACATACTTTGATCATGCTTGTGCTCCACCTCAAAACACAAACACACAAATACTGTGAGATGTACACTCGCACCACATTATAGTGCCGACACAATATGTCCGTGCAACACACTAATTACACTATATTCAATTCCTTTCTTATAAACAATGTGAAAAAAACATATCTTGCTCAACTACCCAGACCAAACTCACTTCACAACAGAAGCTTATTTTTTTATATTTCCCAAACATACCACACACGATTACATCTATACACATTGCCATACTCAAGAAAACTAGCCCGCCGTACCCTTACTTTACACTTTAATCCTTCAACTAAATCTATGATAACCTTCAGTAATTGCTGTCTCCCATCTTCCCCCCATAAAGATCCCTATTGCGCACTTTGTTCTATACATCGTGGCCCCTATCACTCTTATCCTTTCCTGCCTCCCCCACCTCCCTCATTGCCCAAGATATATAATAAAACCAGTAACCACATTACGCAAACCGCATTCAACACTGCTGACCTCCCCACCTATATCTAAACTTACACCCGCAACACCTGTAATCATTCCCACCCACTAACCTAACTACCCTACTTAGCCAGACCCTCCATCTTCTTCTTAACAAGTTAAAAGTACACAGCGTGAAATATAGTTTCCGGACATCCACACGCTTTGCATCACACCCTCCTTAATCTCCTATTTTTTTTTTTATTATATTTTTATTTAAGGCCTCAGTATACAATCTATTATGTTGTTATATTAAAATCTTAACAAAAATCCTCAACATGGAAAAAAAACAAGCCTAACTAGGAATGAAACAGAAGAATAATGATAGAGTATGTATTTTGTTCGGGATTTTTTAAACCCGGAGGTTAGCCACCCAGGATTATTTTTACCTTTTTTTATATTTTTTTTTAATTATTTTTTTTTTTTTTTATTTTAAATCCAAGGAAAGTCAGTGCGTATCGAGGACTGTCTAACTTATTCATTGGGGTCATTAATTTTGTCCCCAGGATGCGACCCCACCAGTCGACTAAACACCAGGTGACTATTTGATGTAGAGTGAACAGGACAACAAGGTGTAAGGAAACGTGTTCGGAAATGTTTTCAAACCGCCGGGAATCGTACCCAGGGCCTCCCGTGTGTGAAGCGGGAGCTTTTGCCACCAGGCACGGGCCACCTCACCGAGCATTCCTTAACAATAAAAGATACATAACAATCTTGTTACACTTAGCATATTTTGTACAAAACTTTATATACAAAACATTAAGTATACACCAAAACATTTCTCATTCAATATTTTTTTGTATCGGCAACATATTATGTAATAGATTCTCGAAAACTAAAACCTCCTGCAATGTTTTCGAGGAGAATAAATCGTACTCCCACTCCCCATATAACCAAATACACATCATATTGTAACTTTGCATATACTAGAATATAAGGATAAATAAGAAAAAATTTCTATGATGTGTGCTCCTCCCCATCACCCACCAGGTCCACAGTATGAAACCGGTGAAAAAAATATACCTTAATCCGTGATGTGTGGTATATACATTCATACCCTCATTAACTTCCCAACAGGAAGGGTTACTGAATAGGGCAAATGTACAATGACCACTCTCGTAACACAGAACATCTAACATTGACAAAGTTAAATTACAGGAATACTGAGCCTGATGCACGCAGGCACCTCGCCCGTTACTACAGTTGTTTTAAATAGGATAGGAATCCTAACAATAGTCTCTGGGGCAACAAAACAAACCCCGCATCTTTTACAAACAAATTATTCTTCGCTCTTTAATTTCCTAAAAAATTTTAGTTTGGTCACGTCTTTGAAAAGTATCGAAAGGGACGCCTTGGGCAAAATCCACAGAATCAAGAATAATCTTACCAAAATCCTCC